GACAATAATGATAAGTCTATTAATAATAGTAGTAATGGTATTAGTAAAAATAATGACAATAATAATAATAATAGTAATAGTAATAATAACGATGACAAAAATGAATTTGCTTCTTTGTGGTTGGAACGTACTGTTCTAGAGACAAATTCATCATTGCCAAATGTTCTGCGATGGTGCCCGGTTATTTCTAGTGAAACTTATCTAGTGAGTCCTCTTTGCAACGCCATTGAAACGATGGAAGCTACCAATGCGGCGCTGCGTAATTTGATAATTGTCCAGCAAGCTGATCCGAGTTTGCCACTGACTCAGCTGAGCATGAAGCTCAATGGGATTTTGGATCCAGCAGTCATGGGCGGTGTTAATAAATACGAGGAGGCTTTTTTGAATCCTACTTATAGAGAAGCTCATCCTCAAGCCAGCTCGGATTTGTTGAAGCTGTCGAATTTAATTGCAGAGCAGATTCCGTTGCTGGCTATTGGGGTCCAGCTGCATCGAGCTAGAGCTCCACCGGAGCTGAACCCTTTTCACCAGAGACTTGAACAGTGTTTTAGTAACATGCGAGCGCAAGTTGAAGCCAAGTATGGCAAGCGGACCTGTGATCTGCAGATCGAGACTCTGACTCAGTCTGTGACTATGCGAAAGCAGCAACGAAAGCATGAGCCGCATTCGAGGCTTTCTGAGACTAGTGTGGTAAGCACGGAGACTGGGTCAGTACGGTCGCATATTTTGTCAACTGCTTCCCTGCAAAAAGCCCTGGTAGGAGGAACTAGTACCACAAAAAAAAAAGACGCTAAGAGAAGGAGCGCGAGGAAGAGCGACTCTGCTAATTTAGTCAAGCAAGATTTGTCGACGAGCCAGTGGTACACCACGCCGGAGATTCCTCCTCAGCCTTCTGTGGTACAGGCTCCTGTGACGGCTTCCAGTGTGTCCTCACCCCCGCCGATTGAACTGAGACAGCAGTTGAAGGCGTCCAGACCGCTCAGGTCAGAGGCTGAAAAGGAGAGACGGGTTAGCAGTCGCTGGTCTTTGCAGTCTCAGAGTTACATTAGAAACTCTCAAGATGATCAAACGGACTCTAATGACTCGCATGATCAGAAAATTAACCGCGACTCGGTTGGTACTACTGACAGTACCGCTTCCGAAGAAGATCTTCCACCGCCTTTGCCGATGAAGATGCGCGAGACTGACTATTGCAGTTTTTCTTCGCAAATCAGCACAGACTATTACACCAGCAGTGCCAATATTAAGTCTATTATTAGCGAAAGTTTGGATATTAAATTAATGTCGGCGTCAATTGATGATAGTTTTGATAATTTAAGTAAACCACCGACTCCACCTCCTAAGCCTAAGGTCAATCGGGCTTTGTTGAATAGTAATTCGCTGAGGAAAAATTCTTTTCATAATGTTTCAATGCCTACTGACTGACATTTTAAAATTACGTTTAAGTATTTTTATTGTATAATGAGTCGATTTGTTGGCAAGGTAAAAAGTATTAGCTTGAGTCAGAACAAAATTTTTTATTATTAGTTAGATTATTTTTTAGGCAGTTAATTTTTCACAAAATTGTGGAGTGATTTTTGCAATAATAGTTTATTGAATATTAATTTTTTTTTATGGAAAAGACTCAGTTTAAGTAAGGTAAAAGCATATATTATTGACAGGGCCTCTACCATTGACATCCTATTTAATTTTATTATTTCATTATTAAAATCTGTTAATAATCACAATTGTTGATAAGATAAAAGACTCAATTATTGTCACTTGCAATTTTAATTTAAAAAAAAAAAAAAAAAAACAAATTAACTCTGATAAATTAATAAATATAATTCTTGAATTATAAATTTTAAGATAATTGGTTTTTTTGAGAACATTTTATTTTTTTAATTAGAATAAAATTGCAAGTGTCAAACAACTAGGCCAGTGTCCATAACTGGGTCTTTTAACTTTTTTCATGACAATTTTACATATTTTTAAAATTAATTAAATTAACAATATCGTTAAGAAAGACCTTATTTTCAAATCCAGATTTTTCAATGTTTTTTTTATTTAATTGCTTGCTTAAAATTATTTTAGATTATTTATAGTCTAAATAACTATATAATCATTTATTTATACTTTATCGAGTTAAAATTAATTTTAAAATAGCGGATGTCAATGATGGGGACACAAAAATTAACTTGTGTCAACTAACGACATAGGCCATAATGTAAGGTAGCCTAATCCCCTCAACATACATATCAACGTATTAATGTTTACATATTGTCATGTGATTTTATAAGAATCCAAGTATTTGAGACAAAAAAAAAATTGCTAAAAAATATAGAAAAGCCAGGTCTTAAACGAATTTTAAAATAATAAAAATTATTGATAGTTTTGCATTAGTTAATAAAAATGATTATTGTTAAAATAAATTTAACTGTAATAAAAGACCTGTCAATAATAGGGTCAATGGTATGTCAATAACCGGCTCTTTGAATTTTTTGCACTGTCAATAATACATACATTCAACTTGTTGGTTTTAAGTTGATATAATAATTGTTAAATTTATTGCTATTAAAATTAATTAATTAAATTATATAAGTAAAAACAATTATTAAGGTGTCCCATAAAAAAAAAGTTGACAATATTGATTTGAAACACGATAAAAAATTCAAATATTCATGATCAGGCTTGATAGTGTCAATAATGGAGGCTTTTACCTTATTTAAGTTTATGTTTGACGAGGTGGTGTTACCAAGAAATTCGAATAAATTTCGACACAAATTTTATTTGCTATGACCATATTTAATAGTGCCATCATATAATCGATAATTACCAAGATTTTCTAAATATTAGATAATGCTGTTAGTTAAAAATTTATTATTTTATTAAAATTATATTTGTTAAATGTGTAAATATCGTAATTTATATTTAACAAATTAAATGCCATAACTTTTTCATCTAGTTACTGATATACTTAACTTTTTATTCATTTGACGTCGATCTTATAGATCAGATTTATATATTATATATTTTGCCTGAAATTATATTTATATAATATAATAAAAATATATATATTATACAATATATTAAATTTTATATTATACAATTGCAATGTTGTTTTTTAGGTACTATAAAACTATTTTGTAATTAGACTATTAAGTGAAACCATGACGTCCACTATGGTAAATTTATAATATTTAACTTCTTGCCTAGTTGTAGTAACTCATGTGCTCTAAATACCAATTAAAAATAATACCTAGGCTTTATTATATAAATAATTAGTTTTTTTTTTACAAAATATTAACGTACCAAAGAGGTAATTCATTTTCTTTCGTTGATGGTAAATTAAAAACTAAATTTTTAATAGATTAAAAATTTTGATTAAATAAATTTTATAAACGTTTTGTATATAAAAATATCGAATAAATTTTTTATTGTCATTTTACTATTGATTTTATTATTTTACACTTAAAATTAGAACCAATTAGACCTTCTTATACCTACTTATATCGTGCAAAGTAAATAAAAGTGTTTCTATGGCAACTGGAAATTTAGTCTACAAGTAATAATTTATATCTTACATATTATAATGGAAAGTAATTGTTATCGTATCAATATAACAAAGTGGTTACCATTTCCTGATACAAAATTAGAATCATGGTTCAAAGACATTGTTTACTTTAATTATTCGACCAGAAAATTAGCTCGAGAAATGGGATTGATTATCGAACAGATACAACAGTGTACTATCGCTTGCGATCAAGAGGTATTAGTAATATTTATTAAAATATGATACTGAAATTGAGATACATGTGACAATTTTTAGAATTTTTTTAACAAATAAATTTATAGCAAGGAAAATTTATTTTTAAAAAATTCCATCTTTAGAAACTTTAAATAATTATAAATAAGATTTTTTAAAAATAATGTTTAGACCTTGTTTATTTAAAAAAAAAAAAAAATTGAAAAATTCTTAAGTGTCTGCTCATTTGTAATACTAAAGTTAGTTGACATTTTTTATTTTTTTTTTATTTATTAAATTAAGACTAGGGGTGTGCGAATATCGTTAGAATCGAATCGAATCGAATATTAACATTCGATTCAAAATATTATCAAAATTTCACTAAATTTTCTATTGTTTCTAATATAAATTCCATTACATTGTTTATCAAAATATTCTAAGGTAAAAAACCCAGTTATTGACACTGGTCTAGTTATTGTTTGACACTTGCAATTTTAGTCTAATTAAAAAAATTAAATATTCTCAAAAAACCAATTTTCTTAAAGTTTATAGTTATTAATTTATTAGAGTTAATTTTTTTTTTTTTTAATTAAAATAAAATTGCAAGTGTCAATAACTAGGCCAGTATTAATAACTGGGTCTTTTACTTTACTTACGAATAATATACTTTGTGATTAAAAATCAATTACCCGGAGAAAATAATTGCTCAATTTCAATACATGTTTATCTCTGTCAGTAACATAAAAAATCTAGATAGTAATATTGGCAAGAGATCTTTTCAATTAATTTTGGTTTTTATAATTATTAACTTCTGTTAAAAAAAATCTATTTGTGTAATTATATTTCGTAATGATATTTAAGTAATTTCCAAGAATTCAACGTCCGAAATTATCGAGAGTCTCTACCTCGTAAAATAGCAAGTTTTGGTTGGCTATTCTGAAAATTTTTCGAATTATTCAATTCAAATTTCGAATCGAATATTAATATTCGATTCGGAACAATTAATTCGTAAGTTCAAATTATTTGCACACCTCTAATTAAAACTAAAAAATTGCACAAGTTTTTTACAAATAAAATTTTTTTTTTTTAATAATTTTCTATCATTCCAACAATATTTATCAATCAACTTGTATATTATTTTTAGACACTCAATGATTCAATGTTAGCTCAGTTGGAGACAATAATAAAAACTTATAAAGAAATTTACTCGACAAAAAAAAATTTAACTACTAATTTAACAGTATATAATTATAAAATCGAACATCTATCTTCAATAATGAAGCGCTTACTAAACACAGTCGCTAAATTTATCCATTATTTTGTCAATCAAACATTAGACCTTGAAAGTGACGTGTTAGCTTTAAAATTCTTAAGGTAATTTTAAAAAAAATTTTTAACCTTTTTTGCCATGCATAAAAAAAAATAATAATACTAAAAACTATTACAGATTAATAAAAATTTACATCGACGCATTGAATCTCGATTACAAGATAACAGATTCATCAATAAATATCTTCTCAAATGACTGCCCTTCAATGTTAGAATCACTGAAGCCTTTATCAATATTGCGTGTCTTGCAAATTTTAGCTCGAAACAAAGCTGAAGAATACTGCTACGAATTGATAGATTGTTTACTAGCAATCTATCAACCAAACAACCAAGAAAAGTGCAACTCTTCAGCATCTGGAGACATGGAAATGTCTGAGAATTCGAGCGTTGAAATTTATCGCGCTCTTACAAAGCACATAACTCCTCCAGGCTCAGCGATTATTAATTCTTCCGCTAGAAGAAAATACAGTAATGCTCATATAGAAAACTTTCAGATCTTAGTCGACAGTCAAAAAGTTCAAATTAAAAAAATTATACATACGGCTAAAGATATCGCTCCTTTACTCTTCCAGGCTGACAGCTTCAGATATGATAATCAGGGTAATTTATAGAATTTTTATTGATGATACTGAAGTTAACTAACAACTGTTAATTTTTAAAATTTTTATAACAATTTAAATACAATAATAAAATTCTTGAAAAAAATTCCGCTAATTTTTTTTTTTTTTTTGTTATTTTCACGTGGAATTTTTTTATTAAATTCTTTTATAATAATTTCATTTGCTATAAAATTATAAAAAAATTTCTAATGTTAATAAACTTCAATGTAATTTTTTATTGTTTATGTTACTTACTTTTCAGGCGAAATAGTAAAAGTAAGAAGCAGTATCCTCGCTAGACTTTCTGATTATTACTGTCAAGTATCTTGGGCAGCGATATCTGAAATTCTTGATCACGTTATTTTATGGTGGTCACCAGAAGGATTGGCTACTAGACATAATCATGGTGCTCAGTATCTTAAAGATTGGTTACATTCATTTTTACTCACCCCTTCTAATGGTTTGTTATTTTTTACAATACTGAAATTAAGAGACATCTGATAATTTTTAGAATTTTGTTAACAAATAAATTATCACAAGAAAAATTTACTTACAAAATTTCATATTTATCTCTAAAAAATTACAAATTTGACTTTTTAAAGAAAATTTTTTATACCTAGTTCATTTTTCAAGAAGAATCAAAAAATTGTCAAGTATCTGCTAATTTCAGTGTCATTATTATTATTATAGATTATAAAATAAATTAAATAGTTTTAAAAATCCAGTTAATAAATTTTAATGAAATAAATATATCATGTTAGTTCCAATTAGTATACGACCAACACTGGATAACTTATGCGAAACTCTAGGATGTCATGTAACAGCAACTTGTTGGGATGAACTCTTCAGATTAGCTTACATCGCTTCTTTTGAATGTGCTTCAAGACCTTGTTCATCAGAGGTAAAACCAGGTTACAGTCAACTAGTATGACTGACAACATTCCGAATTAATAAATTATTAGAACTTCGAAAGTAAATATTAAATGTAATTTAAAATAATTAATTTTACAAATTTTAAAATTCCGAAAAATATAATCCTAAATAAAGAAAAAACTAAAGCTATATTAGTAGAATTTTTCAAAGTCACTAAGTCTCAATAAATTAAAAAACATAACAACGAAAATTTGTACGCCAAAATGAATGAACAGACGAACACTCATTATTTAGGCGAAAAATGTAAATAATTTTATATTTAGATTAGAAAATTTTTTTAATTAATTTTATTTTAATTTACAAGCATGTATGAAAAACATTCAAATTTCATGCTTGTAAAGGTGGACCATCTGAGAAAAATCTCCAACTTTTTGGATGAGTAACCAAATTTTCGGCCGAATCATTATTCAGATAGATGAGTATTCGGATGAATATACGTCGGAACGAACCTTTTTCGAAATCAAATTAATTTTAACTTTTGAGGAATATAAGATTTATATTTACTTATATTTGATAACCCGGTGTTTTATAATTTACAAAATTGTTTTTCGGCTGGTATTCTATTTAAGCTAATATATTATCTAGAGTTTTAATAATTCGGAATGTTGTCGATCTGACTGGTTGACCGCAACCCGTAAAACCTAAAATTTAATGATAGTGGAGTTAACTGATAACTGTCAGCTCGTTTTTTTAACTTTAAAGTTTATATCTAAAAAAATGTCAATAATTAAAAAATGACGTTGTATTTTGTCCACTCGCGCGCTCGATTTTTTAGTCATATTAAATTTCTTAATTATGAAGTAGAATAAAATGATTTATTTCCTAGTGAAGTAGAATAAAATGAATTTATTCTCATTTAAAAAAAAAAAAAAATGATTTTTTTCCTGCTTGAGCAAGATTTAAAAACTTCTAAAATTAAAAATTTTTTTTAGTAATTACTAAAAATTTAAACTCCCAAGCGTCACAAAAAAAAATGTTGACTTTTAGGGAGATTTTATTAAACAAGAAGTCAGAAATTTATAATTGTTAACTTAAATTTAACAAAACATTAACAAAAAAAAATTTGTGCCGCTTGGGCTATAGTTATTTTTTTGTACTTGAATAATTATTATTTACAAATTTTACCATCCCAAGCGGCACAAATTTTTTTTTTGTTTATGTTTTGTTGAATTTAAGTTAACAATTATTAATTTTTCAACTTCTCGTTAAGTGAAATCTACCAAAAAGTCAACATTTTTTTTGTGACGCTTAGGATTAGATCAATTATTTTATTCCTAATACTTAATGTGTACTTTGTGGACATATATAATGTTTATTAACACTAAACCAACTGTTGTGAAGAAATAAAATAATTTATCTAATTCTCCAATTTCAGGGAACAGATACTGGCCAAATGTTTGCCCAAGTATTCCAATTGCTGGTCAACTTAAGCAATGAATGTGAAGTAAGTGGAGAATGGGCGATCGGAGCTCCTTTGATGGAATTGCCACTTTCCGAACAAATAATCATCTTGCACAGACTCGATCACTCTATCCACACAATGAGACTTTGGGCTAGCCACGAATCTAAATTAATAGCTCACACCTGGGACCTGGAGAGTTTTTTCCTTCTGGTGAAAGGGGATCTCCACCAGTGCATCGATCAACTCTCGTACCTGAAACTCGCTGATCATACTGCTGCCTTGGCTACTGACGACGTTAGCGTTCAAGTTTACGTGTGTACTCGCATGAGAGCCAAAATAGTCTCTGAAGTAAACGCTAATTATTTGTTACTCAAAGTAAGTTTAATTAAACCATACACTGAAGTAATAATAAATTATTGACCCACAAAATTGAATAATTTTTGAAGGAATCATCATCAAAATGCATCAGCACTCTGGCGAAAATTTGCAGAGTGATAAGTCTCGCAAACTTGCACATGTGTTTCCCGATTTCGAATATCTGGAGAAGAACCAGCATTGTCTCGAACATAAATCCCAGTCCTTATGTCCAGGTCTATCTGGAGCGAGTGCTTTTGCCAGTTTTAGAGGTAGTAGAGGACGAAGATATATCGAATATGGTGTTGAAAATAATGTGCGAAGCCTGGCTTGATTATATATATCTTCACCGGGTGAAATTCAGCGAGATCGGTGCTTATCAATTGCTATCAGACTTTGCTTTTGTCACCCAGTGGGTATCGAATTGCTCGATAATCAGCCAGAATGTCAAAGATCAATTGCTGAAGAATGAAGTTCTGAGGCGTTGTGAAGGTGTTGGGCGACTTCTTCTTCGCCATCCTGGGGAAGCTATCGCTATGCATAAGAAAATTCGTGAGTTATTTTAAAAAAATAAATAAAAATATAATTAAGATAAAAGCTCCCATTATTGACACTATGAGAGTGATCATGAATATTTGAATTTTTTATCGTGTTTAAAAATAATAATGAAGTTAGCCGAAATTTTAAGTTTTTTGAATTTTTTTCAATAATAAAATTAGAACAAAAAAATATTTTTTAAAAATTGCACTTACAGTTTTTCAAGTTTTTTACAAATGCCAAAAATCAAAATTATCATCTGTAACAGTTAAGTACATTAAGACAATCTCATATTTACCATTGATCACATCATTAAGAAATTGTTTGCGGGTTTGAATTGTAGGGTCATTCCCCCTTTTGAAATCTGAGTAATAAATTAAAGGTCTTGCATTTAAGGGGGTATTCTGGTCTAGAAATTTAAAAAATTCGAATTTTTTTTTTTGCATATTTCCAAATTTTAGACCTTTAAAAATATGTCCTTAAGTGGATTTTTCAAAATTCGAATTATTTTCGGAGATACAGTGGATTTTGTGACGCAGCTGCTTCTGCTTCTGCTTCTTCAATAGAAGGCAGAACAGCTCGATTAGCAGAAAGAACTTCGTAAAACGTCGAGTAGGAAGTAGAAGAAGGCCCAATTTATGGATCTGGACGGAATCCCTAATTTAGCCTTAAAAACCATCATAAAGGCAGCTCTAACATTATTCCTAGACGCTTATAATGCATGCCTCAAGGAGGGGACTTTTCCTCGTAAGTGGAAACAGCAACGATTGGTACTGTTACCTAAAGGGAAGAAGCCACCAGAAGAACCGTCATCTTACCGACCACTTTGCATGCTAGATACGGCGGGTAAGATATTTGAGCGCATAATTCATCAACGAATAAATGCAGTAGTCGACCCACTCCTGGCAGACAATCAGTATGGATTCCGGAAAGGACGATCAACCCTGGACGCAATCAAACTGGTTGTTGATACGGCCAAGGAAGCAATCGCAGGAACCAGATGGAAGGGTGGAACAAAAGAGTATTGCCTGGTGGCAACTCTAGACATCAGAAACGCATTCAACTCCGCAAATAGGGAATGCATCATGCAGGCCATCCAAGATAAGAA